TTTCATCACCAAATCATCGTGATCTACGTACGCGACTTAATTGCGTTGAAGTATCTCAGCCGCGAGCTTCCACCAGCGTTGGGCATGTTAACGCTTTTGCTTAAATGCAGCTCGGACGTTTCGACGGATCGATTGGTAGTCGAAGCCTGGAAAGGCCGGGTAAAGAGATTTGGTGACGATCATGTTCGGTGCAGACGTCCTCTGTGTAGTTGCAATGGCCGGTTTCCGGGAATTTGAAGAAGTATCAATCTCTGCGACTCTCCCTGAAAAGAGACCGCCTAATTTCCCCATGGTTGTAGCTACATTTCCGGTTTGGTTAATCACTCCTATTGAATATGGAAGTAAAAGTTATAATAGTAGTAGTGAAGATAATGATAAAGATAGGGAGGATAATGAGGACGAAAGGAGTAGAGACGTTTGGAGGAACCTGCGCTATATGTGGCGTTAATAAAGAGGTGCTCAGCAAGAAAGGTGAAGATGGATAAAGATTTAAAGAATATGGACATAAGTGAAGCGGCGGTTGAGATGATGGGCAAAGCGATATGTCGAATGCGCACCGCGTCTTGTTGTCTAGCTGAAGTTGCCTGACTTTACATGAGAAATTCCTGGACTGCGTTCAACTGAAATAAGTTCAGTAAATTATGACTCGTCTATGGCGTCTAGATCGTCCTTTGCAGTAATATAAACCTCCCCCTAGAGCTGGACCATACTTTCCAGTCCTCGACATCGCCCTTGGCAAATTTTCTTCCTTCGCCTTGCTACTATTTATCTCGTACCTCTCCGTTGCTGCCTAATTCTAAGCCCCTGACGCTCTTGAGATGCTTTCTGGTCTTGACTTGGATGTGTATTTCCTGCGCTGGCTTCGAATATAACTAATGAGGGCTGCGGCTGGTGAGATTCTCAGCTATTGTAATGCCCACCTTGGTAACTTTCACCTCCTTTCTGCGCGCTCGACGGGTCCCTCAGGCCCGGTATGAATTTCAACAGTGAAGGTGACAGAGCCTGTAGCTGCAGCAAGTGTGACAGGTTGACCGGGGCCGCAGCTTCTTCGCTCATCATTCTCCGCATCAAGAATTCATAAAACTATCCTAGCAGCAATCGAACACCTGCGGGGACACCCTTCGGGGCGTGCCAATGACGTCAGGAACCTTGCTCAAGCGAGACCCCGACGGTTGAGGTTGTCGAAGGAACACCCATATGTATACTTGGCAGAGAAGTCCCCGACGACTTGGACGGATTCGAAGGCCACGTCGAAGAGGGCAGGAAGTGTCGGAAGTCCTCCACTTGTACGTGTCGTGGAGGATGGCATATGCGTTGGCAATGGTTGGGCTCGCAGACAGTCGGGACGAGGACTTCGAAGAAGTGTGCGCCATGCATGGGATCTTTGACGGGATTCGGGGTGGAGGCCCTGCGGTCAAAGAGAGAAAGCCGTGTGCTGAGCAGGACCTTTGGCAGGCAGGCTTGCGGCTTCGATGGGGCTGGCCCTCCCCGCTAGATGGTTTCGAAAGTCGGGCCAGCCTCGAGGCATCATGGCTGCTGGTCGGGTGCGATCCTCCAAAGGAATGCGCACGCCTTGACTGAGAAAATTGTTTAAGTGGTATCCTTGGCAGGTGATGCGTTTAGCGCTGGACAGTCTGTTGGCTGCGAGGTTGGGGGCTCGGGGCGTGGTTGGTTCTGGGAACAGCGAAATGGGGTGGTGACGAAAATTCGGTCTCTCCTCCACAGGTCACAGGGCAGGTACCCGGGAGGGAATGTGCCGGTGACTTGACTTTCTCAAATGCAAGTTTCCCTGCGTGAGAACCTTGGCGAAGAGGAATCAGCTCTCCGGGTACTGAACCTGGAAAGAAGAAGGTCGCGTGTTGCAGTGTGCTGACGGGAAAGTTCACGTTCGGAGCAAGCTCCGGGACCCGCCAGGCGCACGGTCTGCAGTGGGCCGAGGAGCTTTTGGGCCACCAACTGCCAATTTGCTCAGGGGCCACCTGCCGATTTTAGCGCTGGAATCAGCAGGTGGCCCCTGAAGCAGCCGCCGCACCTAATCTTGACCACCTTACTCGGCCGCTCTTCTGTTCGTCACTGGCGATGGCATTATGGCGAGCTACCGGAACCGGTAAGCGGCCGAAATATCGAATCGCTTTGCCATAACGAGATCTACGGACGTCCCGATCAAGTTGGCATCCCTTTCCGTGTTTTTGTCATCATTCGCAGCCACCCCCATCGCCCTCACTTGCATCGGAGTTCTCGGAGTTCTCATCAGCGTGGCGACCAAGTCATTTCCACTACATAGCACCCATCAACCAACTGACCTCATTCGGGGACAGGATTCTCGGAGTAATGTGGTCAAGAGGATGAACGATCTAGTGATACTGTGCTACCCAGCCAATGGGCTGCACAATTCTTCAAGTAGTTGGAATCGCCGGAACCTTCTACCGGTGTCGTGAAGATGACCATGCTTCTTCAGTCGCCTTTGATCACACAAGCATAGCATCACAGCCGCTTGATAGATTTAATTGTAAGGATCTGGACGTCGCGGCGGTCAAGGTTTGGTTGCAAGTGCGGCCATCAATCTTGAAAGTCAGCCAATGAACCCCACGTCTACGGTTCGACCAAGACGTGCATTCTGCAATCCACACGCCCATTGGAACTACGTAGAACTAGTGGTTCCACATGAGCTTGGGCATTCCTCTTTTGGTGCGTGGGACTCTCGGTGAATGATTCTCAGATGACTCCACCGACATTCGAGGGAAAGCCGCGATTACCATCCACACTGCCTGGGGTTGTTGTTCCTTGGCATGTGACACCTGCACCTTATTCATTGCCAGCAAGATGAAAGAGTGTTCTCGCAGTTGAAATTGTTCCACTGAAATCTAGGTCTGCGAACTGTTGACCAAACACCATCATTCACAATCCGTCAAGGCATTGTCTTCTAAGTTTGGGTGCTGGAGAAACAGAGGTTTTTGGGACGCTACAGCTAGCTGACTACATGAAACAACTCCAATCGGTTGAACTTGCCATTTCCCAAGGCTGCCATGAATTGAAGGAGCACGTAAAGTCACCGTGGGCGAAGCGACAGCATCCTGTGACATTTTCTTCCCCTCGACCGAATGGTCCCTGCCTGCCTCGGTCACCAGACCACCAGACGCCGAAAGCCTCGCCTCCAAAAACCACACTCAATGCTTCCATAGGCAGTAAGCGTGCTGAGGGCATGGCTCGCACTGAGGCTCAGCCAGCTGGACCGCCTTTTCAGGGACTGGGACATCCAGAGGGGTGATTTGCGTTGCGGGACGTTCGAGACCAGCCAGTGTCTTCTTAGCATCGTTGGAGTTGTGTCGTCGAGGTTTTCCTTGCGGAGGTGCCGCTTGAAGCCTGGCCTCTGGCTTGGTGAACCGGCGGCCAGCAGATTGGACTTGGAAGGCTACTTTGGGCCCCGAGATGTTGGCGGGGTCGAGCAGAGGGCGGTCCTAAGCCAGACCGGGGCAGGCTTCGGTGTTTGTGTTGGCGATAGGTTGGAAATCAGAGATTTGCAGAGGAGAAGCTTGTCGTCGATGCTCGCCTTGGATGGAGACAGCTTGAGGCTCGATTTCTGGCTGGGTGTACCGGCGGCCAGCAAATTGGGCTTAGAAGGTTGTTTGAGGATCGACTTTGGGTGGCTCGGCGTGTCGTCGAGGTTGGTCTTGGGCGGGCTATCGGGAGTGTTGGACCCAGAAATACTCGCGAGATCGACTCAGAGGGCCGACTCCAGACAGAATTGAAGTGCTGCGGTGTTCTTGTCAATGGGTGTTGAAAATCAGAGGTTTTCAGAGGAGAGGTTTGGAGAAACGGACACTTTTGGGGTGGACGTGGATGGAGGAGACAATAATGACATGGCACCCGGAAAGGAAACGAGGAAGTCCTTGCCTTCCGTCCGGCACACTGCAAGCAAAATGGAAACGACCAGAAGGGAATTCTGACTGCAGGCATCAGGTTAGGTGGGTGCAGACGGACGATATTTCCATGCGCTGTTGCTGCTGGGACTCAATGGGCAGGTCAGGTGCGACACCTCAGGCAGGAGACATCAAAGTGTCAGCGATAGAAAGGGGGAGTGCATTGATTTCACATGTCCATTCATGAGATTCAGTGGTGGACTGCAGTCACTGCAAGATGTGGTGATGGAAGCTGCCTGCCTGCCTCATAGGTCCTGAAGGTGTTGAAATTACGACTAGGAGGGCGGGTGCATCTGCGCCGAGACAAATCAGTCCAATGTGACGGTTTCCCCACTGGAAGTCGTCACATTCGTTCCCGCTTGCATGGGGTGGCTGATATAAGCATCTGGTGCTGGTTCACTGATACCAGTGATGTGACTGGCCAGCCTTAGGATACCGCTGGTATCGTAAGGGCAGGCCAATCAGAAAGACGGTTCACCCGTAGGATACCGTCGGTATTATAAGAGCAGGCCCGTCAAAGTGCGAATTTCCGAACCAGAACCCCACATTTCAATTCAGCAGCCAATCAGCACAGGGTCTGCCAGCACAGTTGACTTTCACTAGGTTGTGTGCGGCGATATCAGGCCCGCCAGTTTTCGGCGCCGTGCGCTGGGTGGGGCCGGGCGTGATCCGCGCCGCCGGTGGAAGAATCCGTGCACATCCGGCTAAATTCATCAGCCTTCTGAGGTCACCACCAACTGACAATCGAACGCCGCCTCAATGCATGATGCACCGCCAATCACCACGAGTCCCGGCCCGGACTCATACAGAATAGGCATACTATGTCCGACGTCCCACTCTGACCTGCATTTCCTTCATTTGTGATTGGCGCAAGATCCAGCCAAGCATGATGCCTGTCGCCAAGATGAACGAACGAAGGAGGTCGAGATAACATGATTCCTAAAGAACCCTTGCGAGGTTGAATTCAAGTCGAGGTTGAATGCTTACCCCGCACCCGCAATGAGTTACTGCGTACGATGGGGCTGTTTCTGAATCCTTCCAAGCATCATCCTTCTTCCACACGACTTTCCACCAGAAAACATGGAGGCATTAGTAAACAACCGCACGTCGTCATTTTTAGTTTCTCCATCCATAGCAGAATACTTTGGCCCTCTTAAGATCACTCTGCTGACCTCCGTTATCCTCCTTCTCATCACGACCCGACTCATCACAGGCCATACCAGCCACAGGACAGCCATCCACCGCGTTGAATCCGATGGCGCTCGTCATCCGGAACCAGTCCCTTACTGGATCCCATACTTGGGTCACATCCCCAACTTCATACTTTCCGGCGGCAAGTTCCTCCCATCCCTCCGGGACAAGTATCCGTCGGGCGCCGTTACAATCAAGATCCTCGGCACCAAGCACGTCTTCATCTTCCGCCACAGCCTAGGTACCTCTCTCCTGTCGAAGCCGGACTCGATTGCCGGTGGCGAGTGGCTGCGCCTTCGCATCTTGTCAAAGGCGTTTGAATATCCCCAGGCCGAACTTCCAGACTACCTGGAGGTGGCATCGGAATGGCACGATATTTTCGCAAAACTGGTTTCAGGCTCTGGCCTTGACCAACTCGTCTCACGCACGTCGAAGAACCTCACTGCCAACATCAATCGATTCGTGACATTTCATGCAGATGAAGTAGAGCAATCGCCATGGGAGCAGACAGCCAAAACACGGCTTCTCTCCAGCTCACATCCGCCTACAGTCTCAACCTCCCTGTCTGACCTGGTTCGCCTGTTCGTCAGCCACACCGCCAACGAAAGCCTCGTCGGCGCGGACTTCATAGAAAATTTCCCCCACTTTTGGGACCAGCTTTGGGAGTTCAATGAGACCTGGCAGCTTCTCGTACTCGGGCTGCCGCCGTGGGTAGGTTACATATGGCCGAAGCTTGCGCGTGCGATGCGTGCGCAGTCGGAAATGCTCCAAAGCGTGAGAGAATTCCATGTCGCGTTGGACGACTACTTCCACGGAGTGGACCCGGGACCGCGGTGGACGCGGCTTGGGGGCGATGAGAACGGCAATGGCGGTGTGAGCGAGCTCATCTGGGCCAGAATGCCTCTCTATCTCAAGCGTGGATGGTCGATTGATGCGAGGGCGTCAAACGAGCTGGGATTGATTTGGGCCATGAACATTAATGGAAACATGCTCATCTTCTGGATGCTTTATCGAATAGCATCCGACCCATCACTCCAAGCGAAGATACGATGCGAAGTCGCAAAGTTTGTGGACCTCCCAACGGAAACCCCTGATCATGGCCCCACCCAGTCTGAAAGCACCAGCATCAACATTGAAGGCCTCATGTCCCAATGCCCCCTTCTCAAAGCGAGCTACATCGAATCGCTGCGGATCGACTCAAGCATGTGGACCTTCAAAAAGGCGAAGTCGAGCTTCATAGTGACAGCACGGGAGAGCAAAGGCACGGTGGAAGAACGGTTTCGAATCCCACAAGGCGCGTACGCATACTTGGCCGAGGAGTTGATCTCCATGGATCCCAATCTATTCCCGGAGCCGACACGGTGGAGGCCTCAACGACATATCGTGCTTGATGACAGGGGAAATGAAGGGAAAGTGCCAGTTGCTCGATTGGGCAACATGAGACCTTACGGCAAGATATTTGATTCATATGGCTTGAACATTTGGCTGAAACTTGCTGTTCAATAGGTGGTGGTCCCACGATATGCCCAGGTCGAAACTTTGCGGTTAGAGAAGCACTGGCCTACGTGGCCTGCATCATATCTGTGTATGACTTGCTGCCGGACAACAACGACACGGACTGGCCGAATCCAAAGGCGATGAGCTCGGTCGGTGTGAAGACAGTCGCAGAGCCGTATCGTGTCAGGATACGGAGGCGAGAATGAGATGATACGTAGGCCAGACCAACAGGCAAGGGAAGATGGGCAACCTTCAGGCAGGTGAATAAGCGCTCAATTCTTGGCCTCAGTCAATGCTGCATGAGATGGAAACGTTCTCGCGCAAAGATGCTACCAGCCAAGATCACGCAAGGCTCCAGATGCTTATCTCCTAGAGGAAGAGAAGTGTGTCATGAGGAGAAGGTCCAGCATACCTTTTATTCAGAAACTATTGCTATGACAATTTTCGGCAAGCCAGGAAAGCTGACTTCGCCGGATGACTACGTACTCAGCCTATCATTTGCACACAATTCATCAATTGCTGAAAGACGAGGGCGACCCCTTCCAACTTATTCCCAAGAATACCGCTGCCCATGTGCTCCCTAGCCAGTAAAAGAGGCTGTCTGTGTCCAACCCTGCCCAGTATGCAAAGATAAGCAGAAGGCCTGCGGCCTGCGAGAGAGATAGACAGCGCCGGTTCAGCGAGGGTGGGAGTCGGCAGGACGAGGACGACAGTCGAGCAAGGACGAGAAATAACCAACAACCGAAGACGGATCCCTCAGTCGAACCGCGAATAGAAATGAGCTGGAGAAAGACCACGGGTATCCTGAAAAATGGCGAGAAATTAGTAAATTGTATCATGTGGAGTGGAGAAGCCGTGGAGACTACTCAGTTATTCCATGCCGGAACGCGTCGAGATACGGCCATCCGTGTACGGCCATTGGCCCGACCCGTCCGGAGCCCCGCTTGCCCACCCCTGCCCGACTCGGAAATCTCGACGCGTTCCCTGGGATCTCTGATTGACCGGCATTGACTTCAGTGTCTCCACCCTAACCCAAATCTCGACGCGTTCCGAAATAAGACCCTAACCCTACCCCTAACCCTTAACATTACGTGGGCGATGGTCTTGTGTCAAAGCCGTTGTGGCCACCACCAGAATTGAAAGTGGGGCCAGGGAGAGGGGGGGTCAAAGCCGGCACGTGGAGGAGTACAAAGCCGTAGAGATTCCCAGCAGCAAAATAGATAAAAGTAGGATGCAATTGAAGCCACGAACCAGGTCATTACGGGAATCCAGTTTTCAGTGTTGTGTTCTGTGATTTGAGTCTAGGAATAGGGGAATAGGGTAGTAGATATTTTTGTGATATCGTCCCGGTCCCCGCATTAACTAGCTAATCACATAATAGGGCCACTAGCTAGACCAGAGAGCCCGACCGAGCGATGGAACGCAGGCAGGTAGGAAAGTAGATTAAGGAGAAAGTATATGGAATTAAGGGGTAGGAAAGTAGGATTATAAAGAGAGGACAGGAGGAATTAGTCGCAAACAGTAGATAGAAGAAAGTAACCAATACATATAGCTAAATATAGAGCTATTCGTCCATAACACGCAGTATTCTATTTTGATATGCACATTGTGTGATGTTACGGTCAGCTATCCGACAGTAGGGTCTGCTAACAGAAGCTGGGGATTGACACGTTATAACAGTACACTGGGGTCGTGGTCTGAGTCGTAGGTCGTAGACTGTAGTGGATCGGGTCTTCAGAGGCTAAGGTGATCAGTCTTAGACTCAACAAGTAATTCGCAGTGAAGGTAAGCTGAGAGTATCCGTGAGGATGAATACTAAGTTGATTGCTGAAGAGCTATGGAAGTCTGACCATGAGCCAGGTGTTACGACCCGTTATGCAGGATAACAGTTAACCGACCCACTTGGGCATCGAGCGGCTAGGACAGGACATTTGTATTGCAGGATCACGGGAACAACAGGGACTCGCTCGGAAACGGAAGAACTATAGTACAGGTCACGTGATGATAAGAAGGACCGACGAGAGATAAGCGGTCCTGACCTAGGACCGACATGGAGAAAGCGGTCCACACCCGGGGCCCGCTCGGAAGCCATCGGTCCTCAGAGTAAGAAGACTACCCTAGACTTGTATATAGTATGACCTGAGCCTGGCTCATGGTCAAACTTCCATAGCTCTTCAGCAATCAACTTGTGATTATCACCACAGATACTTTCAGCTCACCTTCACTGCGAATTACTTGTTGAGTCTAAGACTGATCACCTTGGCCTCTGAAGACTTGATCTACTACAGCCTACGACCTACGACCTACGACCACGACCCCAGTGTACTGTTTAAACGTCAATCCCCAACTTCTGTTAGCAGACCCTACTGTCGGATAGCTGACCGTAACA